AAGTATAATTTACGATCGTTGAAGTTAAGTCGAAGTTAACATACGAATTTACGCGATAGATCTAAAAACTTTTGATATTGAGAATTAAAAATTGATTTTTACTGTGGCACAATCAGCCACGAAGAAGGGAAAGAGCGACGTGATCATATTGTCGGTCTCGTGGAATAATTAAAAGGTCGTTGACATACATTCGCCGTATATAGGACTCTTTCATTAATTCAAAACATCACCTCACCTTATCAATGCATCATAAGCAGGCAAGCTTTGCTAATTAACCATCGCTCGCGTTCTAATTAGGAAATGATATCTTTGAAGAAAAGAAAATGCGGCCGAGAAATGTTGGAGATTGAACGAGAACACAAAAACGAGAACAGCTTAATATAAGATGATTCTCTCGTTATTGGAGTTAAAGAACGCCATCGCCTAAAAACACGGCGATAAATCCGTGTTTCTATTCATAATCATGAGTCGACGCATTCTGACTGATATACTTAAGAAGCCGACATGTTTCGAATTCAAAACTGTTCTCTGCGTATGTGTGTGACTGCAAACGGAGTGCTATCATTTAGGAATTAGGTGGTGATTCTACCTTTGAATCCATCGACGAGAGCATCTAGGAAAATTTATTATGTGAGAAGAAATGTTCATTTATCATAAGTTAAATTAATAAAACTTAATCTGTTGCAAAAATGAAAAACTGTTTTTCTGGAATGATGCAATCTGTGATCTCGAGACGTCTTATCACATTAATCGATGGGTTTCCTAAAACAATTTTCTAAACAAAAACGAAGAATAGATCATAAATTGTGGTAAAAGTAAACGTAAAATAAAAGTAAAGTAAAATGTTTTATCTCAGGACTTTGATTACAGACAAAAACTAAATCGTATAGATTCGAAATGATAGAAAAAAAAAACATAAATTGTACGAAATAAACTTTTGTACTAAATCGATTATTAGGAAGAAAACGAAGAGAAAATATAAAATATAGAAGATTCGTTCATTGCTCATAATCGTAAACTGTACGATATAACTGTAACAATAGAAAACATTTAATCAAAATCATCGCTCGGACACTTTTGCATTTCTTCGGAAGGTAGCAAAAGGTCCTCGAGATGGGTTACGTTTGCTTGAACAAAAATAAGAAACAGGAATAATGGCAATCAAATTCGCTCCGTTTTATGTGTGTACCGTCTCTTACGATTAACTACTATAAATTATCACGATCGGATAAAATTATCAGTCGAGATATTTAATGAAGAATAAGTCATCGGACAGAGGAGATCGTATTCGTTTTAAAATGATCTGTTCTATCCGATAACTAACTCAAATTCATCGTTCGGCGATGGTAGAAAAGTCTACATAGACCCGCGTATTATCTACAAAATACTTTAATCGTAATATTAATTAATAATATACAAATTGTAAATAACTAAACAATAATAAAATATGCTGTAACAAGTTCTTCCGCTTATTCTTGCTTCTCTATTTCTCTCTCTTTTCTTTCACTCTCTCACTTTTCCTGTGTTTCCGTAATTCGCGATGACAAAAAATTATTTTTCCATTCCATCGTAAAAAGAAGAATGGTTCGACGGGGAGTTAGAACAGGAAGGCACAGGACAGGTAGTCAACAAAGTGGCATTTCTATTTCGATAATCACTTCTGCAAATTTCTAGCTCTCTCATAGCTTATTAATGAACCAATGTAATAGCGTCACTCGCTTCCTTTAGCTTGCGGAAATTCTATTCTTCCCCGAAAACTAAAGGAAAATAAAGTGTAGGGAGGAGATTAAAGGGGCATCGAAAGAAGAAGCGGGCTGGAGTGGGGAGAGAGAGCACCATTTAACGAACACGTAATAATCTTCGATGATGTGCAACGAGTTCGATGTGCAAATAGATCGTTTAAAACGATCAACGAAAAATTCCGCTCATTCGAAAATCATGTGTCGCTATAATATATCGTGGATAGAACACAAACGGCAATGACGTTTCGTTAATTTGTTACAAGCCCTTATCTTTCTTGTCTCTTTACTATGATATACTGATGCCTCTATTACTCCTTGCACGAACATTTTTTTCCTCGACATTTACTTTCACGATATCGTTACCCTAAACTTCTCTCGAATAAGCACGCAAGTCTACGCTTTTTTTTCGATAATCCTTCTCTTTTCATTCATTTTCCTATTCACCATTATCTAGCGAATGTATTGTACATCATATTAAAAAATTTTTAAGTTACAACTGTAAATATCATATCTCTACTATACAATGAAGCTCGTTCGTGGCGCTGTTCCTTAGTATTTTACGATAATGTTTGCTCAAACTTCGCATCCCAATTTTATCTGCGTTGTATTCCACCAGTCCCACTCTTTTTGTGGCTTGGACGTGATTCGTATTAATACTCCAAAGAATGTCAAGGGAGAAGAAACAAGGATTCACAAAATGTACAGTCTTCTCAAGCGTTTCAATGCCTTTGGAGATCTACGAATTACAAATTGAAAATAAGAATTTTGCCCTAACGAGTATAAAAATACAAAATGAAGACAGTAAAGGGATTTGGAAGTTTCAAAGACTACAAAAATATGTTCGTAAAGACACGGCTAAGACTTTCACAAGTTTCGATGTTCGAATTGTATATTCCACGATTATGATTCGCATTAAAATACTTTCAAGCTTTACCAAATACGAATCTCGATCGCAACATTTTCTAATAATTGCATTAAAACATGGTAATAAGTTGTTTATGCTGAAAATAGATATTAGTCCGAGTTATAGCCAGCTGAAATAGCACATGTCTTTCTATATATGAGTCAATGCTCCTCTTCCTTATCCTCTTCACTTTAGCATAAAAATCATCAAATATCCATATGCCTTAATCTTGCAGCGTATAAAAATAATAATACTATCAATTTGGTGTAGTAAGTACACTACGTTACCAAGTTCTCAAAGCACGTACTTAAATATCCGCCAAGAAATCGAGCAAACTCTACATACATATCGCAAACAATCATTTCTCTTTGCGAAAGCATCGCAATATTAATTCTTTCACGATGCCATCACAAAATGAACGAAACAAATCCCTCAATTAATTGAAAAACAGTTCTTACAAACTCAATTTATGTACAAGGAAAGTAACTTTAAGCGTAAGCGTCTACGAAAGAGATAAATCATAAAAACTGGATCCATTTCCCCGCGTGAAAAATATCTTTAACAATGATCTCTTGATAGTAGTATGGCGAATCGTCCATGAACCGAACATGATTTCAGTTTGGTGAATCCGAGGCAGACGATCCACGTACTCAACTTGTTATGATTTCAATGCTCATTTTGATAAATAATATTTTTATCATCTGATCTTATAAATAACAGCTGCATGCTCCTTGTTAATCGTTTGTCAATTCCATTTCCCGGCAACCTTCATCACACAGCATTTCCTGATAAACATTGTCCCTTCAACTTTCTTTCGGTCAGTCGAGTTTCATCGACGTCTGAATACATCAAAGGCACGTTTGATTCGTTTAACGAATATGTACCTACAAATAATGTTCGGTACAAGTATCAACGAGCGGTTTCGTTGAATTTCCTCGTACTCGCTAAGAAGTTGGTAACAATGTGTTTTTTCTTATTTTCTCTGTGTATATTCGGATCTAATTTTTTTTTTAAGACACATGAATAAGATGGATTTCTCCAGACATCCTCCAGCTGATACGGAGTCTCGAAAACTGATTTCGCACATTCGAGTCTTATAGTCGCAAATGATTCGTCTGAGCAACTCCGATCGAATTTCATTTCACTTAAACCTGATCGATTAGAAAGGACGTCGAAAGCAACGAATCCCAATCGAATATTGTCGATGCTAACTAAGGTCACTTGCCCATGCTGGCGTTCGCTGGCAGAGTCGCGGATCTCTGTTGTACCGATAAATATGGCTTCAAGGTGGATCTCGTAGACTCCCTGAAACGTTTAAATTGTTACTGATGAAATTCAATTCTCAAAAATTCTTTAACCCGTTCACTGTGATACTAACAGTATCTCAACAATATTAATAAACTTTGAATAGGATATACAGAGCTGCTCTTTATAATAATAAAAAAATAAATTTATTTAGATTGTTTTCAAAAATGTAAATTTCCTGAAACAAAAGGGACGAGCTTCCTTCTTCTTTTAGCTTCACAG